AAATCTCCCTCTTAGAACAGCTTTTGCTAAAGATTTGGGACTGCTGGGTTTTCATTTTCACTTGTTTCCATGTATTTTTTTTATTTCCTCTTTTATTTCCTCTTTTAATTTCTTGGTTGACCCATTCATTGTTTAGTGAACATTATATAATAGACCTGTATTTGTGTTCTTTTCCATATTTTTTCTTTATTTCTAGTGTCATAGTGTTGTAGTCAGAAAAGATACATGGTGTGACTTTCTGAATTTGTTCAGACTTTTTTGTAGCTTAATACATGATCTGTTCTAGAGACTGCCCCATATGCACATGAGTGTGTATTCTGCTATTTTAGGGTGGAATGTTCTGAATGTATCTGCTAGATCTGTCTGTTCCAATGTGTCATTCAAAGCCAATGATCAGTCCATTGATGTAGGTGGGATATTAAAGTCTCTTACTATTATTATGTTACTATTGATTACTTCCTTACGTTTATTAACTGCTTTATGTATTTGGGTGCTTCCATGTTTGGTGCATAAATATTTACAATTGTTATATCTTCTTGGATTGTTTCCTTTATAGTTACATAGTGTCCTTGTCTATTTTTACAGTCTTTGTTTTAAAGTCTATTTTGTCCAATATAAATAATGCTACCTCAGCTTTCTTTTGACATCCATGTGCATGATAAATGCTTTTTCATCTTTTCACTTTTAATCCACAGATGTCTTTAGGTCAAAAATGAGTTTCTTGTAGGCAGCATATAGATGAGTCTTTTTAATCCATTCCATCACCTGTGTCTTTTGATTAAAGCATTTAATCCATTTATATTCAAAGTAATTGTTGAGAGGTATGTACTTATTGCCATTTTGTTACTTGTTTTATGGTCGTTTTTGTAGTTCTGTGTTCCTTCTCAGCTCAGTTTGCTGACTTTCTTTAGTGATATTTTGGATTCCTTTCTCTTTATTTTTTTGCATACCTGTTACTGTTTTTTTGATTTGTGGTTACCCTTAGGTTTGTGTATAACATCTAATGCATATAACAATCTATATTATAAAGTTGATGGCTGCTTAAGTTTGAACCTACTCTACTCCTCTCTGCCCTCCCATGTTTTAGGTATATGGTGTCATACTTTACATCCTTTTATTTTGTGAGTTCCTTGACTAATTTTTACAGATATATTTAATTTTACTGCTTTTGTACTTCCTACTTTTCTTACTCTTGTTTATGGTCTTTCCTTTCCACTCAGAAGAGTCCCCTTTAACTTTTCTATTAAGGATGAGTTAGTGGTTATGAATTCCTTTAACTTTTGTTTGGGTTACTCTTAATCTCTCCTATTGTAAGTGATAGCCTTGCTGCAGGTTTTTTTCCTTCAGGACCTTGAATATATCATGACACCCCCTTCTCAGCAAAGTTTCTGTGAAAAATAAGCTGATAGCCTTATGGGATATTCCTTGTATGTTACTGTTTTCTTTTCTCTTGCTGCTTGTAAAATGCTTACTACTTTTTGCCATTTTAACTACTATGTATCTTTGTGTTACCTCCTTAGTATGATTTTTGTTGGAGGCTCTACGTGCCTCCTGGATCTGGATGTTTCCCTTCCCAAATTTGGGAGGATTTCAGTTGTTATTTCCTCAAATAAATTATTTGCCCCCTTTTCCCTCTCTCCTGGAACTCCTATAAGATGAATGCTTGATGGTATTGCTAAGTTCCCTAAGTCTGTCTTCATTTTCTATTCTTTTTTTCTCTCTCCTGTTCAGTTTGATTGCTTTCTATTACTCTGTCCTCCAGGTTGCCTATCCGTTTTTCTGTGCCCTCTACTATTTATTCCCTCTAGTGTATTTTTAATTTTTATTGAGCTCTTCATTTCTGAATGGTTTTTATGTTTTCTGTCTCATTTTTGAGTGTCTCATTGAGATCCCTCCCCTCTTTTCTCAAGTCCACTATATTCATATTTCTTAGCTCTGTTCATTTAGTTTCTTACTGTGATTTTGTCCTGTTCTTTGATTTTGCATTTTGTCTCTCTGTGTCTGTTTCTGTGTTAGGAAAGTCAGCTCCATCTCCTGCTCTTGAGATTGATGGCCTTATGAAGAAGAGGTCCTGGGATGCCCTATAATGCAGTCTCCCCTACTCACCAGAATTTGGCACTTCAAGGGTGTCTCAATGTGTTGCATGTGCCCTGCTGTTGTAATTGAGCTGCTTTTGCAGTAGTCCAGCCATGGCTGTCTTTGCCTGTTGTGGCCAGGATTTGGTCCCGGTGTTGTTGCATCAGTCTGGGGCGGCCTTGGGTTTGAGTCAGACCAGGCAATGCCAGAGGGTAGCACCAAACTGCTGGGTGCTTTCCCTATGTTTCCCCCCGAGAGGCTTTCATTGGTGGGCAAGGCCTGCAGTGAGACCAGTTGTCTGCCCCCAGCCTACTGCTGGGGCCACAGTTGTGTGTGGTTATCTTTCCCTTTTCCTGGGACAGGAGTCACTTTGGAGTGGTGCTGCTTCCTGTCAGGTCTGCTTGCATGATGCCACCCTTGTGGCACCACTTTGGATGGGCTCTGGCCAACAGTGTATTGGAGGGGGCAGGTCTGCAGGAGAATGTGACGGCAGTTCAGGCTGTTAGCAAATTAGGTGGTGAGTGTTGGACCTGCATTGGTTCCTGCTGGTATCCATGTATATAGGCTGGGAGGCAGGGGAGGAAAGTGGCACCTGCCAGCTCTTGGAGAAGTCTCCCAAGGATCCCTGCCCCTCCAGCACACACTCTGAGATTAGTAAAAAACCAAACAAAACCTCCTTCCCATACACCCCAGGCGTTAAACTGTTCTTCTATGCTGTATCTCCACAGGGCTGTTTGTTGTGCTCCACGTGCAGAGACTCCGTTCCTTGCCCTCTAGGCTCTCCACAGACCAGCCTGATTTTTATAGCATCCCATTTGTTAAGCCCTGCTGATTGTAGGAACTTGCAAAATTATGCCCCTCTGGTTTTCAAAGCCAAATGCTTCAGACCATGTCTCTGCCCTCCCCACCCTCTTCCATGTTACCTGAGTTCCATGAGTCAGTTCTGCCAGTCTTTGGGTAGTTTCTGGGTTATATACACTGATACAGGTGTTATCTAGGTGTGTCCATGGGACAAGGTGAGCTCAGGGTCCTCCTACTCCACAGTCTTCTCTGGAAGTTGCCGTTATTATTTATACTGCTAAGCCCATTAATGGGAATATGTTTTTTAATTAACCCAAAATTATATGGCCAATTAATTTATGACAAAGGAGGCAAGAATATACAATGGGGAAAGATAGTCTCTTCAAGAAGTAGTGCTGGAAAAATGACAGCTACATGTAAAAGAATAATAGTGAACATGAATAATAGTGAAAAAGAATAATAGTGAAAAAGAATAGTGAACATGCACATGGAAAAAGCAATCATGGAGAAATAATACTGGTATCAAATGAGTCATCCATTGATTTATCATGATAGAGACTGCGTTTGACTCAGTGGTTAAGGAATATGTAGGAAAACTCCATATTTACTCTTTCTACTCTTTACTGTAAAATCAGTAACATGGAAAGTTCTTAGCTTATTTCACATTGCCTGGTTTTAAATACTGAGCTCTGTAAGTTGTCTTGCAGGGGACAAGAAAGCTTTTTTCAGATAATCTCTTTAAACCTAAGTGGTGCCAAAAAAGATCACATACTACCACAAAAATATATTCTTTTTATACCTAAGTTCTATGAAATAATCAAAATCAGATTTGTGTAAGCTGTTTTCAATCCTTATATGTAACATTTTTCAAATAAGTTTATAATTTAATTAATAATCTCCAATTATTTATAGTCAAATCTAGGTAAAATTTTAAAAGTTCTTTTATTATTTTGGGGAGTATTTTCTGCCCTACCATTATAACATTTCTTTTGTTAGACATAGCATTTAAGGTGTTAGATATAAAATCTAACATCCTATCAGGAAAAAAACTGCATGGTTTCTATAGCTTCTGGAACCATTTTAGAACAAAATCTGAAAGACTGTCTTAATATAGATCTATACCAGAGATATATTTCTACATTAATAAAATATGCTTTATAAATTAATCTCAAGTCTGAGCCAGACACGGAAGGGTGGAAAGCCTAAATTCTGTACCCACATAATCAACAGTCTGTGGAAACTCTGGGAACCATGCCACTGGTCTCCAATGTAGCACAGTTGGGAAATGACACATTCTTTATGAAGCACTCATCCAGGAAATGAGTGGGTCAAAAAGCACACCAGTAAAAGGTCCATAAACTTATTTTATGAATGAAGATCATAAAGTGTACTGGCTCCAAGCTCAACACCTTTTATCATGCTGTTGGATATATAGAACAAAAAATAATTGTGTCAGCCATAAGAATATGGTCCCATGCCATTTCATAATTATTTGTAATCAATTTTTTCCATATGTATCCTCATTCTCAGATCTTCCCACTTGTCCTTCCTTCCCCCCCAAAAATGAAATGGTATACACACAAACAGCACAAACTTAAACTAATCAGATTTATTCATGCTACCCATGAAAAGCAATTACATTTGTACATACAATCATTAACACAGAGACAAGAGAAATCTGATTAGACACACAACACAGAAAATAAATGTGAAAATTAAAAATAGTATATTTTAGTTATTAAACTTATACTGTACTTTCTACTTATTTATAGCAGCATCTGTAAGATTCCTCTATTTGTTAATAGTTAACTAGCAGCAAAATTTTAAAAATTACACAAATTCAGTAGATGTTTCCCTCCACTGTTTCATTCATACAGAATTTATCACATTAACCAAACAAAACCACTTCTATTTCCTAGAGAAAAAGGTAGGAAAAGATTTCAAAAGTCACCAGTTTCCCCCCAAGAAAAAGAAAGGGAGGAGTAAAGAAGGAAGATGAAAGAAATTTGCATGTTATTACCAAAAAATAAATTCTCAATTCCTTGACCAATTTTTGTCGAGTCTCCATGTGCGGGTTAGTGATTGAAGCTATGTTAACTTTATTTTCTGATTTTATATTGCAGTTGAAAAATATGTGGAAGTTCCCAGGAGGCCTGTCAGAGCCTGGAGAAGATATCGGTGTGTACCTTACATATTTTTAATTGCTTGAAAAAATTTAGGAAATTTCTGTGTTTACTTTTTAGCTCTATAGCTGAAAATAAGATTTTAATTTTTCTGAGAAATTTCAGAGGTTACTTCAGGGCTAATATAAAATTAGCAGCAAAACTTGTAATATTACAACTTACTCCATTAGTATAAAAAATACTATTAGGAGCATACCACCTGTTCTGTTTAGGATTGCTTCTAGATTAATTTGTTTGAAAATAAAAAGCTTTTCATATACATTGGTAAAGTTTAGCATTTAGGGTTATTTTGGATAGGACTAATACTTTTCCTGGAATTAAACTGTAAGAAAACACAAATTCTTGACCATTTCACCACACAACCATGCATACTAACTTTATAAGTAATACTTATTTTGAGGTCCATTTAAAAGTCACTTATAGAGCACTACTGACTTAATTCTCCTCTTTATAATAATTTTGACTGCTATTTATTTTAAATAGTAAGGAAGCCAAAACTCTCCTATGAGAAAGTCTCAAAAGAGAGATAGCTCTCTAAAACAACTAAACAACTAAAACAACTTACAGAGCTCAGTATTTAAAACCAGGCAATGTGAAATAAGCTAAGAACTTTCCATGTTATTGATTTTACAGTAAAGAGTAGAAAGAGTAAATATGGAGTTTTCCTACATATTCCTTAACCACTGAGTCAAACGCAGTCTCTATCATGATAAATCAATGGATGACTCATTTGATACCAGTATTATTTCTCCATGATTGCTTTTTCCATGTGCATGTTCACTATTTAACCAACATTTATATATAAAGGCAACTTCCTAAATTATCTTTCAATATTTGTATATACTTGATGTGTATATACTTGAAACTTGATTTTTTTTTTAATGTTACAGATTAAAATGCCCCATACACAGTACATAGACAATTCCTAACAAACCAGAAATAAATTTACCACACTGAGATCTATCCATTGCAGATTTTGGTTTTTAGGTACTTCAGGGACCTTCTGCGTAAATTCTGTTGTTTAGGTCTTCTTTTGAAATAAAAGATTGTGGAGTGATGCAAATGCTGAAAGAAAGGACCATTTACTTTGGAACACCTACTTATTTCATACTATCCTTATGTGATCTGTGACATTGTGTGTGAGCTAGTTAAATTTGTTTTACAACTTTACCCAGTCCATACTGGGCAAAAATCAGGCCACAGGAAGTTTGTTAGTTTCATCTTTTGAGTCTTGCCTTCCCAAATGAATGGACTTTTGAGTTTTTATGGATCCTGAATTTTTACTTCTATTTAAATGCAAATGAATAAACATTTCCAAGCATGCATAATTTTAGGTTTAAGTATACTCCAGAACTCATTAAGTCCAGGTTTAAAAAAAAAAAGGAAAAAAGTAGTGAATTCTGAATTTAAATATTTGTGGTTGTCACAACAACCCACCTATTTAGACAACATACATATGCCTCAACCATGTGGAATTAGAAGCAGCAACTGGCATTCATATTGTCTAGGCGTATTATAAATTAAAGCTTTGCCTTAGAAATAATAAAATCCTGAAAGCAGCTAGAAATAATAACTGAAAACAGAGTTCTGAAAGACCATGACTTCTATCAGAGCATTTCTGTCTTTTAACACAATATTCTAAAGGATGAAGCCAAATCACCCAATAATTATTAAAATTATTTTCTTTAAATTCTGTATTTAGGAAAGTATGTAATATAGTAGAATACAGCCATCACAAATATAGCTCTTAAGTAGTAAACACTAGTTAACTGGGAAACACATGGGAAACAGATTTGTTTTGGAATCCTTAATTCTATAATACTACTAAGTAAATGAAGCTCTCTTGTCCACAGTGCTTAAAAAAATTAAGGGGGGGGGGGGCATATACAAAATAGAATGCAATCCTCAGGCTTCAATATGATACCCTAATAGTACAAAAGGATCTACAAGGTTAAAAATGGAGAAGTTGCCTTTCTAAAAAAAATACCATTTACCAGTGACAGGAAGAGAATCCCCTGCATGGGGAAAGGACTATAAAGTAGCAGGTTCTGATCAGAGCTCATCAGTGCACCAGAATCAGAGGGAAACAGTAGGAAAACCCACATTCTGCCCAATTTTTCCTATTATTTTTTTCCAACCTAATCCTATTGTTAAATATTACAAAATAGAAATAACAAAATAAACTCCTCTTCACTGTCTTGTAACTAAACAAAACACTAGGACATATTTAAACATCTCAGTCAGCAAACATAAAAACAAAACCCCCTTGGTTTTTCCTATGTTTGTTAAACATATAGAACAGTCAATGTTACATCAGTTCAGCTTACAGTACAAAATAAAGGTAAAACAGAATAAAGCAGTTAAATAAATTTACAAGTTTTTAAATTCATGGTGAAAGCCTTGGGGTAAAGATTTCCACGTTGAGGTGGAAGAAGTTACTCATACCTCGTAAGTGCAAAAGCACTTATCTACCCATTCATTTTTTAGTCTAGTCAATGATATCTTGATTGAAGTTAAACTGATCAAACTACCCAGGGCAGTGCTGATTTTCAGTCAGCTGCTAAGGTGACTGCTGAGTAGGGTATATTCATTCACTCACAAGTCTGTCCTGTGCTTCCATGACACATAAAAAGGCTAGACTCCAAACGAAATGCCAAACTCTTAATTGGTGGTACTAAGAGTTTAACAGGACTCCGACAGTTATTTTTCAAAGTGTTTAAGGAATAAAAATAAACATTTAAACAATAGTTAAATCAGCAAATGACATGTAAAGTTTTAGACTAGTGCAGCAGTTTAACAAATTTAGTAGCAAACATGTATTACATGCCAGGCTGAAAATTCTTTTTCTCATTAGGTTTTCCTTTTATTAACACAAATTCTTCTTTTATGTTTTAGTTTTAAATAGTAATTTCTAACCATGTTTAAACTATGGCAAATCTCAAGGGAAGGGGAAGTCAGCATGTAATTCAAAATCACAGACCAATGTCTTATATTTTCAGACCCTTTGCTCTTCCCATGAATATTTCCAGAGCGGTTTCTTAGGATTTAAAAAAAAAAAAAAAGCATATGTAGGAAATTCTTAAGCCAGTCTTTAATCAGAGTTATGTGGAAATTGAGACATTTTTCCTTGACTTCCTCTTCCTTACCTATTCTTCACCAATAAGACTGAGAAGGTAAATAAAATTTTCTTTACAGCAAACAAGGAAATAGAAGGGTCTTTGAGGAAAAATCTGTGGCTCTGGCAGTTGTGAAATTAGGAAGCTTCCCAGCAAACTGGGCAAAGAAGGCAGCTTTTTAAAGGGTTTTTCATAAAACACTTTGGGAGTCCGTGACAGGTCATCACAAAATTACAGAAAGCCCATTTAGGGGGTTCATCTGGAGATTTAGAAAAAGCAACCACAAAAATGTTGACAATAAACATTTTGCCCTAAAAATTTGCATAATATTGAAAAAATCAGCCTTATAAATGTGAAATCCTTGTTGTACTATTACAAAATTCTGTAAATTGCAAGTTTCTTGAACACTTCTGATAAAATGACTGCTGCTTGTTGGTGTCGGAGGAATGAATCCAAGTTCTTTGGAATCTCAAGAAACAAAGGAAATGCCCCAAATGACCATAATGGGATTCCACTGACAAGAACATAACAAAATGGTTATAAATGAATCTGTTCTATGACTTCAGAGGCTTGACAGTCCCACCCAAGATCACCAGGAAAGCTTTGAACATTTCTCCATTCAATACATTCTGCAGCTCTACAGACTTTTGTAAGGAAGAATGGATCACATTTTCTCAATCCTAATATGTATAAATTTAGGCAGTTTTGATGGATGAGCAGGAACAGGATAATTATGAAGAAACATAGGAATATTAACTGCAGGAAACTAGGTTTTCAACTTCTGGGAAAGAGAAGGAAGAGATTAAAAATGTGACTCCAAAAATATACAGGTGGGTAAGCCTACAAATAGCCAAAGAAATACTCAATATTTCAAAAGCTTCTTAGATATACAGTGGTAAGAAAATACTTTGGTATTTCAGGATGTCCAGAAGGCAAGTTTATGTTGAATCCTTTCTTAGGATGAAGTTTTGCTTTTCAACCTTTAGATAACGTTACTTTTATCTGAAAACTGTGATGATTAAAATTCTAAAAATGTGATCCTTACTGATTTGTACATCTTTCTTTTATATAGGAGACACAGCAGTTCGAGAAGTTTTTGAAGAGACTGGTATAAAATCAGAATTCAGGTCCCTTCTGAGCATTCGGCAACAGCACACCAATCCCGGAGCTTTTGGGAAGTCAGATATGTATATCATCTGTCGCTTAAAGCCATATTCATTCACCATAAATTTTTGCCAGCGTGAATGCTTAAGGTGTGAGTGGATGGATCTCCATGACCTGGTCAAGACTGAAAACACAACTCCCATCACCAGCAGAGTTGCTAGGCTGCTTCTCTACGGGTACAGAGAAGGGTTTGACAAGATTGATTTCACCGTGGAAGAACTTCCAGCAGTTTACACAGGCTTGTTCTATAAACTGTATCATAAGGAACTGCCAGAGAATTATAGAACTATGATAGGAATGGATTAAATCCATATTTGTGTTTTTAAAAATGTTAAGTAAATTGTACGTGTAGGATAATGTGTATCATATTATATGAAGTGGTGGACATTTGGGGTTAACTAATATCTGACTTTAATTTCCCAATTTTGTATAATTTCCATGAAGAAAATTTGTTTTTAAAAGCCTCTTTCCAAATGAAGCAAATGTATGACAAAGAGTGTAGCTCTAAATAAGCTTCACTGGATAAAGGGAAATGCTATATAAAAGGTGGAAGTCTATACTTTTTCTAGGAACTTTTATTGCTTTTCTTTACTAAGGCAATGGTTAAATATTTAGTATTAGATAAAAGGTTATCTGACCATTTATCCAAACTGAGCAGCTAGCTGTACATTTTTTTCTTTCACTAACAAATTTCTAAAACATCTTCTTTCATATGAAATGAGATCAGATGCTGCTATTAAGATCAGCTCTTAGCAGACATTGGAAGAAAAAGTATAGCTTTCTGCCCAGGTCCTGTTTTGGGTCCAAGTTTATACTGCCCAGTTCGTTTCAGTGCCACATACCAGCTGGAGTATTTCCTTGACCGATAAGTATTGTAGTTATTGGATTCCAATCGTTCAAAAAAGAAACACTCGTCCGTAACACATTTCTGAAAAACAAAGGAAGAATGAGTAGTTGTTATTATGCTTTCACATGAAACACTTATGAGAGTGCACTGCCCCTTCTGCTCAACCAGCAGCAGTGCGCTTGGCTTCAGAACAAACTAGTTTGCAAGACTCAACGGGCCAAAGTCTGACAGAATCTAGCTCTGCAGAGGGATGCAGGACAAGAACTCAGCACGTCAGAAGGAGAGCTTTCAGGCACATCTCTTCAGAGGAGGAATTCAAGGACCATTCTCCAGCCCTACAATGGACAGGTTGGGGTATCAGGCAGCGAGAGCACACAGATGCTGTCAGAACCACACTGCCTCAGGCTTAGGCCATCCCATGAACATAGCTTTCATGAAGGGGGATATACCCAGTAACAAAGAACACACTTCACTTAGTGAAACCCAAAGCTGTGGCTTCCAGTTAGGTATGTATGGCACATCCATACTCCTCCCAGTCCAGAGGCTGGTGACTAATCAGGGGTCGTTTTTACTTATACCAGGGTTCCCCTGAAACTGCTGGAAGGGTAACCCAGAGATACCTTCGTAAAGAAGAAGGCTTTGCTAATTAATACTTTACTCACAGAAACAGTACCAATTCTTAAATTACAGCAATTTTTTTCTAGTGGCTAACATTTCTAAGGCATAAAAAGAATAGTTCATTATATAGAATATAGCTAATGTACATATAATGCCAAAAAATTGTATTAGAACATTAATATATGATTAATATTCCCAAAACACTAACAGAGAATGAAGAATAAGTAACATAGACCATATTTATTTCTGGCAGTGTCTTTCTTGTGGGAGGGGAAACTACTCTCCGTTTTTATTTCGATTGAACTCTTTAGCGGGGGAGGGGGGAAAAGCTAGCTTTACAAATAGACCTGGAAATACTTTCCAAGTAATGAAGTCTAATAGGCTGCTACATTATTTCAAGTAAATGTTCAAAAATCAATTTCACAGGGTAAACTGATGATAGTTCTTGACCTCTGGAGTGTGTGTTTGAGGGGGTGTCAACAAATGATTTACTTTAAAGAAAAATCATTTACTATTTATATTACAATTGGGAAGAAAGAATTATACCCATATGGAAAACCATAAAAATTTATACATATTTGTATTTCCACATACAAATACAACATGTACATGTATGACATAAACCTAAAGCTTCGTATTAATGAGTGTACCAGATCCCAGCTTATTTCTGTATATTCAAATCTAGGAAACTTCAGGTTTACAAAAACTACACAGTCAAAAGACTTGAATCCTTTCCCAGATTCTTTAGTTCTAAGATAAACAGTGGCACAAACTGTGAGAAAAACATAAATCAATAAGCAGAACAATGAAAAGAGCTGGCATAATAACCAAAATGAAAATGATCTACATGTAACTGGCATTTCCGTCATCTAAAGTAAGGGTGTGGTACTAGATCTTGTAATCTGCTTCTAGAGATAAGAACTTTACTGGATATTTACTTGGCCTTAATGTTTTGACCATTGTTAACTTTTCAAAATGGAAATACAAACTTATCTGATTTGCCCATTTTTTGTAACAAATTACTACGAAAGCAACTGAAGTCTTTCTTATGCAAATAAGTGACAGGTAGCATTACAGAGAAGCATTCATTGCACAAGGACCCAGCTATGTGATACACAGGACTGTCCTATGCATAAAGATTACACCTAGGATAATATTGATATTCTATATAGCTAGTACTTTAACTCTTCCTTTGAAGTTGATTATGCTTTTTGTGTTAACTGAAGTCAACCGGTGTTACTTTGTCATTTTCCAGTGCCACTGATAAAAATCTTCCTCTTTCCCTATTCCAGGTTTAGGATCAGGAGTAGAAGCAAATAGGGGATCCTGGGCATTTCAGTCAGTTAAGCATCTGACTCTTGATTTCAGCTCAGGTCATGATCTCACTCACAGTTTGTGAGATCAAGCCCTGCATTGGGTTCTGCACTTGTTGAGCAGAGCCTACTTGGGATTCTCTCTCCCTCTCTCTCTACCCCTCCCCCACTCACACGCATTTTCTCTCTCTCAAAATAAACATTTTTTAGAAAAAGAAGCAAGCAGAGTAAAGAATGAGAGGATAAGTCACAGTAATCTTAAAGATAACGTGAAAGGTCATCATTGAGCTTCACAGGCTAACTCTCCAGAGACCTGAACCACCTCATTCAGTCATCATTCTGGACATTGATTTTTTTGGTGTTCTGTCAGCTTCCAGGATGTCCCACCTTGCTACGTTGGCACTCCCTACAGTGCTTGGCCTATTGGGATACATACCATGCCATAATATCTGTCTTCTCAATCAGTTCCTAGTATTTCAGAGAAAAGAAATAGTACCAGGGATTAAGTGGATAATACATCATGAATCCACGTTTTTGTTTTTATTTTGTGTTTTTTTTGTACAGAACTTACTTGTACCCTTACAAAAACAAATGGGAGGGAAGGAAAACTAGCTTCTGTGCTGAATGTTCAGATATGTAAATTTACTAAACTATTACATAATTGAAAACAAACTACATTTTTCAAAATGGGTAGTAGGGGCAAAATTCAAGTCTCAAGTCAAGCAGGCATTTAACAGCCCAATGTAAATACAATTTTCAATCGTCTCCATTCTAAGTTTACAAATCATCATCGGTGACTGTGATTTCAATATTCCCTGTTAAAAATGAATGCAAAGTAATTTTTGCCGAAATTTATAAACATTTACAGAGCTTTTTCCCTATTCTCAATGTTTAACGCTAACCTTTTCAAACTTAGAAGAAAAGGGAATCTTCAAAGAAATGATGTCACAGAAGAAGTGGATAAAGTAGCTTCTAAGGGTTTATAACAACTTGTACCCTGTCTTTGAGGCCCTTATTTTATATAGGCCAATGATCTGGGAATTCCCTTAATTCATGGCTTTTGACTGTTTCCATGTGTATCATTTAAAGATCACAACAATCTTGTGACATAATTATCTTATACCCATTATTTAAAACTCAATGCTCTTCATAACTTATTTCAGATTGTGGACACTCACTCTGCCTATGTATCTGATCCCTTTTCATAAAGCTAAGTTTTTCTTTTTTTTTTAATTCAAGAATAATTGGGGGATATAGAAGACACACAGTTCAAATGGTGCATTTACTCATTTAATGCATAGTTTTTCTTCCAGCCACTGGGATACATCAATGAACAAAACTGAACAAGGATCCTTGCCTTTGTGCCATTCAAATTCCAACTGGAGAGACACGCAATAAGTATAACTAAATAAATTATATGTTAAAATATGATAAATCCTATGGAAAAACGTAAAGCTGAGTAGGGTAAGAGGGATTGGGAGTAGAGGAATAAAGATTAGGTTGCAATATTAGCATAGTCACAGTATGCACAATTAAGAAACTGACATTTGAGCAAATACTTGAAAGTGAAGGAGTTAACCATCCAGCTCTCAGAGAAGAAAGAGCATTCCAAACAGAAGGAATAGCTAGTGCAAAAGCCCTACAGTAGGACCATGCCTAGAATGTGTGAGAGGCAGCAAAGAGGCCAGTGTGGATGAAGCGAGGGCTTGAAGGGAAGATACAAAACAGATGAACATAAGGAAAGGGAAGCAAAAATAACATAAAAACGCAGGGGACAAAACACAAGAGACTCTTAAATATAGCGAACAGAGGGTTGGTTGCTGGAGGGGTTGTGGGAGGGGAGATGGGCTAAATGGGTAAGGGGCATTAAGGAAGACACTTGTTGGGATGAGCACTGGGTGTTATATATAGGGGATGAATCACTAGAATCTACTGAAATCATTGTTGCACTATATGCTAACTAACTTCAATGTATATTTAATTAATTAAATGTCTATTTCTTTTCTTAATGAGTAAATCAAATTGTGTTAGCCTCCAGTAAAAATACAATGATACTGCAGAATCTAAAACTAGAGAGCTAAGACCAAAGAAATTCAGACTAAGAATTGAAATATATCAAGATCATCTAACTTTATAGACTATTTAGGCCCTGGGAAAACTAAATCAGATGGCTCTAATAATTTGACTATCCCAACAACATCTGTGAGGGTCTTTGGTGGGCCAGGCTACCTGGATTCCAGACTTGCCTTAATTCTTAACTAACTCACATTTATGAGGAAGTCACTTAACTTTTCCAAGCCTTACTTTCCTCATCTGTAAAATAAGATTATATTAGATGATCTTTAGGATCCTTCCCAATCTTAGAGACGCCTGGGTGACTCAGTTGGCTAAGCATCTGACTCTTGATTTCAGCTCAGGTCATGATCTCATGGTTTGTGAGATCAAGCCCCGAGTCAGGCTCTGTGCTGACAGTGTGGAGCCTGCTTGGGATTTTCTCTCCTTTTCTCTCCACCCCACCCCTACTCAGTCTCTGTCTCTCTCTCTCTCTCTCTCTCTCTCTCTCTTCCTCTCAAAATAAATAAATAAATAAACATTGAAAAAAAAAAAAAAGATCCTTCCCAATCTTTAACAATCTTTAAGGCTTTAAAGTCTTTTAAACAATCTTTAAGTCTTGATATACAATGAGAAAAGAAGTATCTCCCATTATACATTGATCAATCACACAAATCTGGTCCACTGCTACATGTTAGATTTGAACTTTATGGTCATTTCCCCATGCTCTGTTTTTTGGATTGTTTATTCTTTTACAGTACTTTGATTTTTCAGTTTTGGCTTATGAGGGAGTTTGCTCAACATGAATCCAAAAATGCTTTGCTTACACCACTTCTGAGAATTAAAAACAGACATGATGTATCAATGTTGATTATTTCAGAACAAAATAAAACATACAAATTGTGAAAAGTTAAAAGCAAATTGGACCTTAATTTTTTTATATACGTAGAAGTTGTGTAAAATTTTATGAGATTGGTTTGTAAAAGCAGTAATTCTCATTAGGTAGTAACCTTTGCATTTAATATTTTCTCTCTTAAAAATCACATACATTCCTCTTCAATTACTGTATTTTTCTAACAAATTTGATCAGTATGTATTGTCAGTCTAGATAATTGGATAATTGAGCCCTCCAAAATCTATTTTCCCTACTTTGCTATGCACAGGGGTCTCATTTCATTGTTAAGGCCCCTCAACTAAGAAAGTTATTGCAAATGTATAAAAAAAAAAAAAGTAGTTTACTTTTGCAGTTGTTAAATGTATATCCTCAGAGAATACAATTTTTTTCATATTTCACTATTATGGATCAACACAAGTTATACACATTTCTCATATTGCTATATCTTGTTAAGGATTTCATAATCTATAGCATTATCTAGAAATCAATATGCAATTTTTTATACCAATGCTAACACTGATGTTTGGGGACTTAAAACTACAGTTAACTTCACTATATGCAGTTGCAGTTTTTTTAAACCTACAATTTGTGAACACATAACAAATCATAAATCCTAATATTTGTTCTGGGCTTCTGTTGTTCATGGCAACAAAATTTATCCTGCTATGGAATGGAATAAGAATCTGTTGTGTATTAAAGAATTCCTCAATTTCAGCCTCTAAATATAGGCTTTGCCAGTTAAATACAGTTAGTTTAAACTTCTGCTTTTTCTAACTCCAAAGTGGGGGGGGGGGGGGGGGGGGCAGGCAGACCCTTAAGAAATGGTTTCAAACAGTGAGAAATCCTTACCCTGAAAGTATTCATGCCATTAATATGTGAAGGTATTAGGGGAAAAAATAGTACATAACTTAAGTCTTTTTTCATACTCCCAATGGTAGCAATCAATGTAACACAACTCTTAAGAACCAAAATATTTTATGTGTCCAGAGTACTCTTCTATCCGTGACAAAATGAGAATGTTTTGCAAATCACTCAAGAATCACACACAGGGGAGAATGGAGAAGAATCCAGGGATGTGCCATAACACAATAGTCTGAAATGGAGCCAGGGAGAAGAGTGGAAAGAATTATGCCTATGGCAAGTGCAAGTTCATAAAGTGGCTTTCCACTACTTGCAACATATGGTGTATAAGGCACTTCAGCAGTCTATCCACCTCTCCAGCCTTATCTCTTCTTCCCTTCCACTTTACATTTCCTTTGCACTTTACACTCCAGCAGTAGTGAATTACTTATAATGCTAGAGAAACACCTCCTAAGCTTTCTGACTTTGCATGTGCCGTGCCCTGGAAGTACCTATACTCTCATCTCCACTCCTCTGCCCCATGACTTCATGATGAATTCCTTCTTCCATGTCATCTAAAATCCCATTTATATGTCATCCTCCCCAATCTAGACAAATTTAGGCCCTTCCTTTCCTATATTACTTCCTATGTCATAGTATTTCTTACTTCCTTTCCAATATTATTATGCATCTATACAAGATACAGAAACAACACATCAAAACCCTTACACATTATTACAAATACTTATTTACACTTCTGCCTCCCCAAGATTATGAATCATTACGGGCACAGACCATTTTGTATTCAACTTTATAACCCAGTTGCCTAGCATAACATCTGGCACACTGTTGGCTCAATAAATATTGGCTATTCTTGAAGAGAATTCTGAAGTTTATTCAACTACCAAAGAGAGTGCATGCCATTATACCCAGACTTGTTATTTATCCCGCAAAAATCACATAAATTGATAACACATCAACATAAATATATCTTTGTCAGATGATCAATCAGATGATTGATATATTTTCTCCCTAAGTCTGTTTTGGTCCTTGAGAAATCCAAAGGTCTTCACTCAGAAAAATTTTCAAAAACTATTTGTATGCCGTAAAACACCACAAGTGTTCAGTAATATTAGATCCATTCTGTGGGGAAAGTTATAGGCGATTGTAACTGGCTACCGGTACTGGTATGATGACTATTGTGTATACACACACATGCATGCACACACACACACACACACACACACACACACACACACACACACACACACACTTTCAGGTATGTGTCCCATCTATTCCCCCAATGAGACAGGAGTTGGATCTATATCTTTTATACTGCTGTGCACTATTCCCCACACACTATGTCTGCTCAACAAACATGTAATCCTGGTTCTAATGACAATGGTGGAGGTGGCAGGGAGCCTGCATTAGTGAAAAGAATATTACCCAGGAGCTAGGACTCATAACTAGCTTTGAGAAAAAGTAAAAGAGTGAAGTCATTGTCCTGAGTTTATATATAACTGAGAAGATGAAGAGGAAGTAAATATTGTGAGGATCTATTATGCATGACCCAGATTGGGCACTGGATGTAAATTATCTAATTTAGTCCTCACAAAAACTCTGTAAGATATGATCATTGTTGTCTCTATGTTACAGGTAAGAAAACTCAGAATAATTTGCTCAAGAACACACAGCTAATACATACTATCAGCATCTAGGTTAAGGGCCCACATTATCAACAAGTATTCTATATGGCAAGCATTTTGTATATGAAATCTGAGAAAAGAAACTTAAAGACTGATACTCAAAATTGTATATATCCATCCCACTGATCTTCAAACAACTACACAATATGAGTTTATTTTCATAACTGTGGCTTAATAGCTTTGCAGAGAAGGCAGTAAAATACAATGAATTAGAGCTCATGCTCTGGAGTCAAGACTGCCTCAAATGCCATCCAGGCTCTACTTCCTAGCAGCTGTGTTTCCATGGTTACTTTATTACTTCCTCAGAACTTTAGTTTTTTATCTGTGAAATACAGTAATACTGTATTTTAGAGGGTGAATATAAATTATTTAATACTTGCAAAATCCTTAATGAAGAATAAATACCACTACTAGTAATTAAAGCAACAAAAACCAATGAACAAAAAAACTACAAAAAACAGCATTACTTACAGAAGCCAGTAATCTTCCATCTTCCTTCATGGCAAGATAGCGGTTTGCACAGACTCCTTTGATGGACACAACCCCTCTCTCTTCTGCCTGAAGCTGCAGTTTGACTGTAAATAATGGGGGGAAAATTACCTTTGTAGCATCACAGAAAAAACAGCCATCTACACACTTATGCAATATAAAGACAAGAGCAACCAGCTAATCCACTCTGGAGGACTGGCAAGGTGAAGGGAAAGGGGACCGGTGTCAATTAGATCATACTCGGATGAGACCCAGATGCTCTAGAGCATGAGTGCTTCCAGATTCCCTTCTCACTCTAGTGTCAGTGAGCAGAGAAGAGTGGCAGAATGGGGAAATGTTTTCCTTTGATGTGTAATTAGTCTCCACTTGGCCTGTTAACTGCTTACATATTTTTAAAAAGTGAACATATTTTTAAAATACATAAAAATGTAAACCACTTATAAAAATGTCCACACTACTGCCTAAGTTTAAGCTTTTTATTTTTTTTAATGTTTATTTGAGAGAGACAGAGAGCAAGAGAGAGAGAGAGAGCATATGTGCACATAAGGGGCGGGGGGCGGGGGTGGTGGTGGCAGAGGATCCCAAGTGGGCTCTGTGCTGACAGCAAGAGAGCAGATGAGGGGCTCAAACTCACAAAACGGCAAGATCATGACCTGAGCCCAAGTCAGGCGCTTAACCATTTGAGCCACCCAGGTACCCCTTAAGTTTAAACTTTTTAAGTTATTTTTAACCAATTCTTCACAAATAAAATATAATTGCTCATTATTACCTTTTGGTTTGTTTTTCCTTGAGTTTCTTTTTTGTTTCAAACTTTTCTGTAAATTCTAGTTAGTTAAATAGTGTAATATTGGTTTCAGGAGTAGACTTTAGTGATTCATCACTTCCATGTAACACCCAGTGCTCATCACAACAAGTGTCCTCCTTAATGCCCATCGCCAATCCAGACCATCCCCCCATCCACCACCCCTCCATGAACCCTGTTTGTTAAGACTATGTTTATCTTCCCTTTTTCCTTCCCCTGTGTTCATCTGTTTTTTCCTACACATCTTATTTCTAGCTTCCCTCTTTTAAAATTGTTTGTTTATTTTTGAAAGAGAGAGAGAGACAATGTGAGTGGGGAAGGGGCAGAGAGAGAGGGAGAGAGAGGATCCCAAGCAGGTCCACGCTGTTAGCACAGAGCCCAACGTAGGGCTGAAACCCCACAAAACTGTGAGATCATGACCTGAGCCGAAACCAAAAGTAGGACACTTAACCGACGAGCCACCCAGGCGCCCCTAGCTTCCCCCTTAATACAATACCAATGCATTTATCTTTCTTGAAAGAGGGATTGTGATGTATAGCTATTTTAGTTTGCAAATATCTATGTAGTGGAAAACTGAAATGCATACTTAATTTGCTTTTACAACGTGTTGAAAGATTTTCAGAGTGTAAGATCTTGAAGAGGGTGACCTGTTATACTGCATTATCAGTATTAAGCAGACCGTAGTAGGAAAAAAAAATAGATATTACATGATTATAATTATGCCATAAGAATAATTATCTAATTGATTCAAATAAAAATGAAGTTAACATCTTCTGTTTTGCTATTCAGAGGCAGCATTCTCCTTCCCAGAACAGTATTCTCCAAAATGTATTTTGGCAAACAGAGGTTACATATAAAAAAGAGGTTCTGGGGCCAAATAAGTTTAGGAAAGTCTTGGTTAAGCCAAGTTAACTCTTTATTACCTTCTGACACCTTTGCTTCTTATAACTTGCCTTATAAGTCACCATAAGAGGGTATACACCATAAGAGGGTAAGTATACAGTGTTTATATAAAATTTACCTGGTGTCAGAATGAATTTTTGCATTCAACATATCTAGGACATTCTCGAGAACAACAGAAAAAAAGCAGTAAATATTCAAACATTTAGAAATCAGCATAATATTATTTAGATAACATTACAAAGTAAGTTAATTCTCACAGGCATTTCCAGGTAGCTAGGGAAACATGGCATAAAAAAGCAATGTTTGAAAGATTCTGGAATTATTATTCACTTTGTTAGATATTATTATGTCATATAATTATGTTTTAAAATTTTCTCTATCAAGCAGAGCAACATACAGGTAAAACAAGACATAACATCTGGGATTAGCTTAAAAACATTTTAGCAACCAAAAATAACATATTCTAGCAGCCAATCATTTTTTTAATAAAGTGGGCAGGATATTTTTGTTATTATTTTTAAATAAACATCTATTTTTTAGAGAGTGTGTGTGAGTGGGGGAGAGAGGCAGAGAAAGAGAGAGAGAGAGAGAGAGAGAGAGAGAGAGAGAGAATCTCAAGCAAGTTCCATGCTTAGCATGGAGCCTAATGCAGAGCTCAATCCCATGACCCTAGGATCACGACCAGAACCAAAGTTGAGTCAGATGCGTGACTAAGCCATCCAGACAACCCTAAAGTGGGCAGGATAAATAAAACAAGATTGACTAACCTATGTCAATAGTTATTAGAAGCATGGGAGTTTATTATTCTATTTGCACTAGTTTATGTCTTTTTAGTCTGTTGAACATTTACTGTGTGATTCTCTTCTGTGTATCAGTCATTATTAGATTCCAGACAGCACAGCATTAGGTAAGCCTGCAGTTACCAGGCAAAATTGTTCTGCAGAATCTTACAAGATAATGCAAGGCTAAATGAATATAATCAAAACATGAAAACTAAACAAAGAAGTTCATAAAGCCTTTTTCACAATACAGGGAAATGTAGAAAATAAGATTTATTTTTAACAAATATAACCAAAATTATCTTAATGATTATGAGCAAAATCCTTATATACAACTCTAAAGTGATCTAGATAAGCCGTATTAATTATGAACACATTTATATTTCTTTTTAGCTCAGAAGGTTGCATAAAGGCTCATGAGGCAAGATTGCATAATCACTATACTTTCTTCTGGTGCTTCATCAATAAAGCATAGCCTAGCTCTAGCCCACCATCATTAAGTGTGTATTAATGGTCATAAGGGAGATTATGGATAGTAATCTCAATAACCAGTGGCCAATGCCAGTGACTCAATACCCAGAGTAACATCATTGATTGATTCATCAACCTTTTAGAGATTCCTTGGGTATTATTCCACACTAGGCAATTATCACTCAGTAAGTCACTAAAAATTAAGTATCAATTGTAGATGCTTAAAAAAATCTTTCCACTGCCAAATAATTATATGCACTTTAAAAATAACTACAGCCTAAAACGACAAGCTGTAAAGCCATAAAAGTCATAAATTTTCTTTAAAAACCCATTAAAACTGAAATGCAAAGTAACTCAAATGAACTAAATTCCATATACATATGATCCCTTCTCAAAAACAGAAATGACTAACTGCTTTTATCTCTGACAGAGGAAAGAATAAACCTGCCAAAAAGGGAAGTATGGAGATACCAGCTCAAATTTTACTAACTCTTAATAGCTGTTGATGTGAAGAATTAGAATTCTGAGGAGCTCTAATCAAAGAACAACTCCATATCCACCTGCTGGTTCTCTCTCACAGAGCTTGCACCTAGTGGACAACCACCACATATCAAAGGTTGGGACAGAACAGAAAGACTGAGAAATCTTCCTAAAGTACGTTAGGCCTTTGCTGAGTGCAAAGCAGCAGACCACTGAAAGAGGGGAGCAGGAAAAAGCTAAAGAAGATTCCTCTGACAGGCACTGAGCTGTCACCAAATGCAAAGCAGGATCAAAAGAGCTCTTCCAAGATAAAGAAAGCCAAGGGTTGAGTTCAAGAGTAAGGCTAACCCCTGACCTACCCAAACAGTTGGCAGCTGGCTATAAGGCAAACTAGAATACAAAAAATCTACTCAATTAACCCAAAATAAGAAAGGAAATGAGAACCATAAGGACAAAGAACAGATGGGGGAAATTAGAAAACAAATTCCAAGATGGCAGATTAAACCCAAACATACCAATAATTACCTAAAAGCAAATGAATACATTTAAAAGAAAAAATTCTCAAGATAAAAAAGATTTAACTGTGCTGTTTACAAGAAAAGCACATTAAATACAAAGACACAGGAGTTGAAAGTAAAAATGTGGGAAAAAAATATAAAATGTACACCCTAAGTGTAAGAATGCTGGTATGACTATATTAATATGACAATGTGGACTTCAAAGCAATAGTATAGAGATGAACAAGGTTATTGCATGATGCTAAAAGGGTAAGATACATCAATACATAATAATCTTAAATATGTAGATAGAACAATAATAGAATCTGAAAATACCTGAAGCAAAAATTGACAAAAGAAATGAACAAATCAATAAGTATATGGAATATATAAGTAACATCTACCAACTTGACCTTATTTTTTTTTTTTTTTAGATCAGGTAGCTTTCATTCACCTGAGACTTTATTCTCCTATTAACATCATAGTCTTTGAAAACTGCTAAAAAAATAAATAAATAAACTGCCAGCATGGTAAGCTAGCTTATGCTTATTTGCCTAGTAGACTTGAATTGTTCAAATCAATTACCTCCAACTAACAAGTTCTTTTTCCAAAGTCACCATGATATTAATATCAAGGGCTTTTGTCCTAAACTATTGGGTGCTTCTGGTTCCTTTGTTTTCTTTAACAACCTGTAATATGTAGTAATTCACAGATGATACAATTCATTTAAAGTGCACATAAAATTCAATGGTTTTATTATAGTCACAGAATTGTGGAACCATCATTACAATCAATTTTAGAACGTCTTCACCATCCCATATGCTTTAGTACTCACCGACCATGTCCCCAGTACCACCATCCTCAGCCCTAGGCTACCATTAATCTACTTCCTGTTTCTATAGATTTGCCTATTCTGGATATTTCATATCAATGGAATCATGCAATATGTGGTATTTTATGACTGGCTTCTTTCACTTAGTATAAGGTTTTCAAGGTTCATGCACATCGTAGCCATTATCAGTACTTCATTTGTTTTTATTGCCAAATAACATTCCATTGAATAGATGAACCACATTTGATTTACCCATCCATCAGCTGATGAACATTTGGTCTGTTTCCAATTTTTGGCTACTCTGAACTATGCTATGAACATGTTATGAACATGCTACACAAACAAGATTTTGTAGACACATTTTCATTTCTTCTGGATATACACTAAGAAGTCAAGTTACTGGATCATATGGTGACTATGTTTAATCATTTAGGAACATTCAGACTATTTTCAAAGCAACCATTTTACATTCCCACTAGAAATTGAGGGTTCCAATTTCTCTACATCCAGACTACATTTGTTAAATTCTGTGGGGTTCTGTTTTGGTTTTTCTATTTCTGTTCTTGTTTTTATTATAGCCATCCTAGCTGGGTATGAAGTGTTATCTCATATTTCTGATATGCATTTTTCTGATGGGCAGTAATATCAGGCATCTTTTCAAGTATTCATTGACTATTTGTATACCTCCTTTAGAGAAATGTCTATTCAGATCCTAGGCTCACTTTAATTAGGTTATCTTTGTATCAATGAGTTGTAAGAACTCTTTATATATTCTACACAAAAATCCCTAATCAGATATCTGACTTGCAAATATTTTCTCCCATCATGTGGGCTGAATTTCCACTTTCTTGATGTTGTCCTTTGAAGCATAAACATTTTTAGTCTTCATGAAATCAAATTTATCAATTTTGTTCTTTCATTTTTTGTGCTTTTATTGTCATATCTAAAAAAACACTGCTTAATCCAAGGTCATGAGGGTTTACACCTTAGCTTTTCTCTTGAGAAATTTAGTTTTATCTCATCCATTTAGGTTTTGAGTCATTTTGAGTTAATTTTTAGTATGCAGTATGAAGATCCAACTTTACTCTTTTCCATGCAAATACATCACCAAATTGACACTTAAAGGTCAGTTCACCCAAGCAGAATATGCATTCTTTTTAAGGAATATGCCCAAGAGTAAATTACATATTGGCCATAAAACAAATCTCAGTCCATTTAAAAGGATTGAAATCAAACAAAGTATTATCTTAGAAATTAGTAACAATAAGTTATCTAGAAATCCCCCAAATATTTGGAGATTAAGCAATCTATTTCTTAAAAAACACACACAGATAAACCACAAGGGAAATTAGAAACTATTTCTAATTGTATGACAATGGAAACTCAACATGCTTAAAGGGAAAGCTATAGCTTTAAGTGTTGATACTAGAAAAGCAAAAAATTATGAAAATCTAAGCTTCTACCCCAAGAACTAGAAAAAGATTTTGCCATTATTTTATTTTATGTATATTTTTATTCCTATTCCAGTTAGTTAACGCAGTGTTATATTAGTTTCAGGTGTACAATATAGTGATTCAACACTTCCATACACCACCCTGTGCTCATCATGACTAGTACACACCTTAATCCCCATCACCTATTTCACCCATTACCCCAAGCCCCTCCCCTCTGGTAACCATCAAATTGTTCTCTATTATTAAGAACTACAAAAAGATTTCTAAATAAGACTTCTAATCTCAGGCCCAAAGTAATAGCAGAGGGAATACTTACTATGTAAAAAGTATACACTTGAATATACATGGAGTAGAAAATTAACCCAGAGTTAGTTAAAATATTTTATTTTCATATACCTTTTGACATTTTGAATTTTTTCTTGGTTGAGCATATGTTACTTTTTTTTTTTTAAATTTTTTTTTTTTCAACGTTATTTTTGGGACAGACAGAGACAGAGCATGAACAGGCGAGGGGCAGAGAGAGAGGGAGACACAGAATCGGAAACAGGCTCCAGGCTCTGAGCCATCAGCCCAGAGCCCGACGCGGGGCTCGAACTCACGGACCGCGAGATCGTGACCTGGCTGAAGTCGGACGCTTAACCGACTGCGCCACCCAGGCGCCCCGAGCATATGTTACTTTTATAAGAACATAACAATGCTAGCATTGTCAGTTTTAAAATAATCTAGAATAAAACATAAAGTGTGTACCATGTTAAACATGACTATGAAAATAATCACATTTATCAGTTACAAGAGGGAGTGGACATTTCTCAATTAAAAGAAACATAAGAGACATGAATAACCGCAATGTGTAAACCTTGTTTGAATCCTGATTAAAGCAAGTATTTTTTTAAATTTTTGTAAAAAAATAAAAGACCATAGGGGAAATTTTAAAACTAGCTGGATATTTTGTGCTTCTAAGGAAATTTTTAAATTTTTAGGCATGAGAATGGAACTGTTACTATTTTCTTAAGGTCTCATAGCAATACATATGAATCATTTATGTATCTGATATGTACTAATACATACATATCACTTATTTATTTATATGATCATTCTTTAAAATTTTTTTAAGTTTATTTATTTTGAGAGACAGAGAGAAAGAATGACCAAGGAAGGGACAGAGAGAGAGGGAGAGAGAATCCCAAGGAAGCTCCAAGCTGTCAACGCAGAGCCGGATGCAGGGTTCAAATTCACGAACCATGAGATCATTACCTGAACTGAAATCAAGAGTCAGACACTTAACCTAGGCTGAGCCACCCAGGCACCCCTACATATTCATTTTCTAAATTACTTGATGAAATGATATGTCATCTAGTATATACTTCAAAACAATGCAGTACCAGGGAGGAGAAAAAGAGCTAGTGAAGGTACAGATAAAACAGTTGGTCATGTGATGACAACTGCTGAAGCTGGGTGATGGATACATAGGGTTCATTATACTGGTCCTTCTATTTTTGCATATAACTTAAATTTTCTCTAATAAAAGGTTTTGTAGGTTAAAAAAGAACAAAGCAAGTAACCAAAGGCAGCTCATTGGGCAATTAGTGTTAGTTTGGTTGGAAACGTATTGAAGGGTATTTTCTTAGATAATTAGGCCTGCTATAATACAGATACCATAGACTTGATGACTTAAGTAAACACTTATTTCTCACAGTTCTGGAGGCTGAGGAATCCAAGATCAAGATGCTATTAGCTTTGGTGTCTGGTGATTTCAACAGCTCTCATCTCTCTGTGTCTTCACTAGGGGAAAGGGGCTAAGGAACTCTGCGGGGTCTCTTTTTTTTTTTTTAATTTTTTTTTTTTTTCAACGTTTATTTTTGGGACAGAGAGAGACAGAGCATGAATGGGGGAGGGGCAGAGAGAGAGGGAGACACAGAATCGGAAACAGGCTCCAGGCTCTGGGCCATCAGCCCAGAGCCCGACGCGGGGCTCGAACTCCCGGGCGGGGTCTCTTTTTCAAGGACACTGATCCCACTCATAAGAGCTCTGTCCTCATGACTTCATCAAATCCCAAAGGCCCCACCTTTTTTTCTTTCCTTTTAATTCAAATATAGTTAACTTACAGTGTTAGACTAGTTTCAGGTGTACAATTTAGTGATTCAACAATCCTATACATTACTCAATGCTCAACAACATAAGTATATATTTCTTTTAATTTTTTAAAATATTTATTTTTGAGAGAGAGACAGAGCACAAGCAGGGGAAGGGCAGAGAGCGAGGGAGACCGAAGCAGGTTCCAGGCTCTGAGCTGTTAGCACAAACCCCAACACAGGGCTCCAACTCATGAACTGATCATGATCAACTCATGATCATGACCTGAGCCGAAGTTGGACACTCAACTGACTGAGCCACCCAGGTGCTCCTAGATAAGTATAGTCAATCCTCTTGACCTATTTCACCCATCCTCCCACGCACCTCCCCTCTGGTAACCATGTTTGTTCTCTATAGTTAAGAGTCCATCTTTTGGGTTGTCTCTTTTTTTCTTTATTTCTTAAATTCCACATGAGTGAAATCATATAGTACTTGTTGTCTTTCTCTGATTTTGCTTAGGATTATACTCTCTAGCTCCATCCATGTTGTTGCAAATGGCAAGATTTCATTCTTTTTTAATGGCTGAATAATATTCCATTGTGTGTGTATACACAAACCACATCTTTATTCATTCATCTATTGATGGACACTTGGGTTGCTTCCATAATTTGGCTACTGTAAATAATGCTGCAATATACACAGAGGTGCATGTATCCCTTTGAATTCGTGTTTTTGTATTTGGGGATAAATACCCAGGTGTGTGATTATTGGGTCATAGGGTGGGTGGTTCTATTTTTAACTTTTTCAGGAACATCCATCCTGTTTTCCACAGTGGCTATACCAATTTGCATTGGTTGATGTGACTATTTTTGTGCCAGTACCATACTGTTTTCATGACTACAGCTTTGTAGTATAACTTGAAATTGGAGATTGTGACACCTCCAGCTTTCCTTTTTCAAGATTGCTTTGGTTATTTGCGGTCTTTTGTGGTTCCATACAAATTTTAGGATCCTTTGTTCTAGTTATGTGACAAATGCCATTGGTACTTTGATAGGGATTGCATTGAATCTGTAGATTGCTTTGGGCAGTATGGACATTTTAAAAATATTTGTTCATCAAATCCATGGGCATAGAATATCTTTCCATTTGTTTGTGTCATCTTCAATTTCTTCATCAGTGTCTTTTAGTTTTCATAGTCTTTCACCTCTTCAGTTAGGTTTATTCTTAGGTAACTTACTATTTGTGGTGCAATTGTAAATGGGAATGTTTTCTTAATTTCTCTTTCTGCTGCTTTATTATCAGTATATAGAAATGCAACAGATTTCAGTTCTGAATTCATTTATCAGTTCTAGAAGTTTTTTGGTGAAGTCTTTAGGGTTTTCTATATATGGTATCATGTCATCTGCAAATAGTGAAAGTTTTGCTTCTTCCTTACCAATGGATGCTGTTTATTCCCTTTTCTTATTTGATTGCTGTGGATAGG